GGAGGGGGCACCGTCCTCCCTGAGGGTCCTGGCGTTGGAGAGCTGGAGGCAAAGCTGTGGCATCGGCTTATAGAGGTTTGGAGTGAGCAGGCGGAGGCTTGGGCCTCCCCCAGGGAGATCATAGGGCGAGAAGAAATCTTCTTTGTGGTTGTGTTGAGTGTGATACATACATGTGAGCTGGGGTTGGGGGAATTATGGGGCGAGGCGTACCAGGGAGGACTGGGGTAAACCCGGAGCCGTTTGGAGAACTGGAAGGTGTATGGGGAGTTTTTTTGGGTCTTGGGTGCGGGTGGAGTTGGGAGGGGGCATGAATGTTTAGGGCAGGTGTGCAAAAGAAGAGAGCAGGGAAAATGTGGGTGTGCATGTGTGGGAAGCCTGTGCGTGTGTGGTTTCTGATGCTATGGGGATTAGGAGTGTGCAAACAGTCTCTTGGGCTAAATGTGTAAGAAGGTTGCAAGCCTGGGAGGGGTTTTGGGGAGCTGATGTTTGCGCAAGGAATTCTTTGACAGATCACCTCCAGGGGAGGGTGGGATTGCTTGGATGGGGCTGTGTTGCTGGGGCCTTGGGAACTCAGAAGTGTGCAGTCCTGGGAATGTGCAGGAGGGGACCGTGCTAGGGTGAAGTCAGGGGCCACTGGTGGTGGGGGATGGGTGTGTATACTTAGGAAGGATGTGTGGGCCTGCGTGGGTGGTGAGGAGAGGTGAGCCTGAATTAGGGGATGGGGGAGAGTTCATGGGCAAGTCAGGCATGGTTTGGAATAAGCGTGCAACAGGTATGTGTTTTGCCTGAAGGAGAAGCCCAGAATCGAATGTCCAAACACCTGGCTTCTCTTTATAACTTGGGCCAACCTCTTTTGCTCTCTGAGCCTGAATTACAGATCTCTAAAATGGATCTGTAATTCATCTCTGCCTGAGTATCTCCAAAGTCCAGGGTTGGGAGGCGGGGAGGAAGGTAAGTCTTTCTTTTTAGTTGTTGGTGGAACTTTATTTTATTCATTTATTTACATGTGGTGCTGAGGCTCGAACCCGTGCCTCACACTTGCTAGGCAAGTGCTCTTCCAGCGAGCCTCAGCCACAGCCCGGAATGTAAGTCTTTTTACCACTTGTGTTGTCTTCCCTCTGCCCCCAGGAGTCCTTTGCCAGAGACTTCTCCAACCATGGACAGCCCTAGTCTTCGGGATCTTCAACAGCCTCTGCTGGCAGGCACAGCCTGTCAGCCCCCTGCCCGGGAGCCTGTCAGACCTGAGCTAGTGCCCCCATCAAGAGAAACAGCCTTTGCAGAGTCCCTAAGAGGTTGGCAGTTCCCACCACCACCTCTTCCCTCTGTGAGTGGAGGCCTAGGAGAGCCAGGGCCCCCTGCCCTTGAGGTAGGAGCAGCAGATCTTGGTGAGGGCCAGGGGACCGGGCTGGGGGTGAAGCCAGCTGCAGTCAATATTTGGCAGGCCAGTGGCTGAAGTCTCACTTCCCAACTGTGGGTGGGCTGCTGGGATTTCTAGTTAGTGTTCTTCCTGTTCTGTCTCTCCCGATTTTATTCTTTTTTTTTTTTTTTTGGCAGCACTGGAGATTGAACCTAGGGCCTCACGGGTTCTAGGCAAGCACTCTAACATTGAGCTACACATCCAATCCTTTTTATTTTTTGAGACAGACTCTCCCTAAATTGCCAAGGTTGGCCTCCAACCTGCAATCCTCCTGTCTTAGCCTCCCAAGTAGCTGGAATTACAGGCGTGCACTACCATGTGCACTTCTAGTTTCTTTATTGGTTTTGTTCCAGATTCATCCCTCCTCTTTCTTCCCTGGTCTTTGCCTTTTTGTTTTCCTTCTGATTTCTGTCTCCTCTGTGTTCTAGCTGCTTCTCTTTTTGAGGGGTGGGGGTAGGGAACTGGGGATTGAACCCAAGGGTGCTTGACAACTGAGCCACATCCCCAGCCCCTTTTTTTTTTTTTTTTTTTGAGACAGGGTCTCACTAAGCTGCTTGGGCCTTGCTGTATGGCTGAGGCTGACCTCAAACTTATGCTCCTCCTGCCTCAGTCCCGAGTCTCTGGGACTACAGGCATGTGCAACTCTATCTGCCTCTCTCTTCAAAACCCATATACCTCTGGACTGTGTGACCCTTTTGTCAAATTCATGTTACTTTTTTATCATTTCTCATTTCTGTACATACTGTCAAACTTGCCTTTTATTTTTTAATGGTTTTCTAATTAATCTAAGAAATTACTCAAAATGTAAAACAGATGTTTGTATCACTATAAATCCTCATCTGTTCATGGTTGCTGGGCTCAGGAATCTGGGAAGGACTCAGGTGGAGGCTCTGCCTTGGGGTCTTCCATGAACTTGCAGCCAGTGGCTGGAGCTAGACCTGGTGCTGTCCGGGGCCTGTCCCTTCCTGTGGTCTTGGGGTATTCTGTGCATTGTCTCCGGCAGCTTTGGGGCCATCAGACCAACTTTTCCCATCTAACTCAGCAGAGGAAGTCGTGTAGCATTACTTTACCACATTCTTTTGATGACAAGTAAGTCGTGAACCTGCCTAGGTTCATGGTGGAGGGGACCCAGACCTCATTCCTTGATGGGAGGAATACTGAAGTCACACTTTAAGAGCAGATGAGGTGGGCATGGTGGTGTAAGCCTGTAATCCAGTGAATCAGGAGGCTGAGGCAGGAGGATTGCAGGTTCCAGGCCAGCCTGTTATTTAGTGAGGCCTAAGCAACTTAGACCCCCGCCTCAAAACAAACAAACAAATAGGCTGGGGCAAAAACTCAAGTTTTTTCATGGTAGTGTGCTCCTGGGCTTCAATCCCCAGTACTGGGTTGGGGGGAAGACATGGAATGGAAGTTTGTTGTGACCATTTTTGGAAAATGCCACCTGCCACATATAGCATCACTTTAGCTGGAGATTTTGAGCACCTTATCAATTTTGTTAGTTCACATTCTGTTATCTGCGGCTCTGTGCTTGTCATTGTCTTTGAAAAATCATTTTTAGGAGCAAGTATTATTATTATCCTGAACTCCCTGGCTATTTTTTGGTTGTGGGAATTTAACCCAGGGATGCTTTACCACCGAGCCACATCCCCAGCTCTTTTTGAGTCAGGGCCTTGCTAAGTTGCAGAGGCTGGTTTTGAATTCACTATCCTCCTGCCTCAGACTTCCCAGCTGCTGGGATTGCAGGTGTGCACCACTGCACCCCAGTTTATGAAAACTTATTTTTAGGCCTAGAAGGTATCTTCTTCCAGAAAGCAGATGGAGTGGTATTCAGCTGCCTGGATGCACTGATGCAGAGACCATTTGTAATCTTATTTGTTCAAGGTTTGAATTTTCTGAGAGTGGCAAATTTATCTGCAGGGCAAGAGGGGCCTCCTGTGTTTGTGTAACCAAATTAACCTTGATTAAGTTTTGTCCTTAATCCCTTAAATCTTGTGAGCTCTCTGCTGCTTCAGTTTTTGATGTGATGGTGTAGGCCTTGTGCATGCTCCACACCTGCTCTGCTGCTGAGCTACATTCCCAGATTTTTATTGATGGGACCTCACTAAGCTGCCCAGGCTGACTCTGAACTTGTGATCCTCCTGCCTCAACTTCCTGAAGAGCTGAGATTACAGGTGTGTGCCACTACACCTGGCTATTTGTAAGATTCTTCCTATAATATACTTTCCATCTAGAAACTGAAGTTTTCAGCAGGCAGAGTCCTAATTATTTAGGACACTGGAGCATTTTATAACTTCCCATCTTTTTGCAAGTTCCTGATGTCTGTCTTCACTTCAGGCACTTTTAACTCAGAGGCTGTAGCATTCTGTTTATGACCCATGACTGGACCTGTCAATCTCTAGAAAATGATGTGCAGGTGGGGCTCTTTCTGAACAGGACCCACAGCTTCTCCTCTAAGGGATCCAGGACAGAGGAGCCCAGAGCCCACCTCTGTGAGCAACTTTCATGCCTCTGGGGAGGTACAACAGGAGTCTTCAGTGGTGCCTCAAGGCAGAGCAGTGGGCAGGGAAGGTGGGTGGAGATGCCCACCCAAGGCTCTCTCCTGTCCACAGGATACATCATCCAGTGACAGCGACTCAGACTGGGACGTGGGCAGCCCCCTCTCCCCCCTTCTGCCCGCTGACCACCTTGGCCTGGCAGTCTTCTCCATGCTGTGCTGTTTCTGGCCCCTGGGCATCGCTTCCTTCTGTCTGGCCCAGAAGGTCAGTCTGCCTGGGACAGGGAGGGTACTGGGCTTAAGGGAACATTCACACCGTGTAAGCAAGAGGAGCCATGGCCGAAGGCAGCAGGGAGATGGGAGAAGGATCCCCTGAGCCTACCTTCTGGGGCATGCCACTGAACTCCCTATTTTTCTCTATAAAATGGAAATAATTCCTGCTTTGGGGTCACTGTGAGAATCAAGGCATATAGTAACACACTTTTATCACTCACGCAGTGTTCCCATTGACCCGCTGTGCCTGATTCACAGTAGATGCTCAGAGGCATTGGAATGCATGAATGAATGGTTTACTGGGTGGAGGAAGGGCTGTGGGAAGTAGAGTGGGGATGAGGGACACCTTTGTCACAGTGGCCACTGCCTCTACAGACCAACAAGGCTTGGGCCGAGGGGGACGTCCAGGGAGCAGGGGCTGCCTCCCGCCGCGCCTTCCTGCTGGGGGTCCTCGCCATCGGACTGGGCCTGTGCACATATGCAGCTGCACTGGTGACGCTGGCTGCCTATCTTGCCTCTCGAGCCCCACCCTAGTTGCCCCCCACTGTGACCCCAGAGGCTGGTGGCCCAGTGCATCTGTGGGCAGGACATGGAGATTCCTGGTGCTCAAAGTGGAGGCTGCAGCATCCAGAAAGGGGAGTGAGCTGGAGACCCCCTCCCCTTCCTGGCCGCCTCTCACCAGGCAGCAGCATGAGAAATTAAACAAGACACCCTTGCAGCCAAACTCGAGTCTGTCATGTGTACGGGGAGGTGGACACGGTGGTGGTGTCGGAGACCAGGAAGGACCAGGCAGGTGACATAGGGATGCAGGGTCCTCACACTGTATATGTTCAGTGGTTAATACAGGATTGAGCCAGGTCCCAAGTCCTCAGTTCCCCACCCGGCCGCCATGCAACTCGGCCCAAGGGACATCTCTTCCAGCCTCACTTCCTCTCATCTGTAAAATGATTTTCTCTACACATCAAGCTTACATACATCCCTCATAGAAATGGCCACCGGCTCTCTCCCTCTGCACTCTTCTGACACCTGAGTGTCAGAATCATCACAGCCTGCCTAGGCAACAGAAGTGAGAACGCTGAGGTATAACTGGTCCTGGGCTCAATTAAGGGTCTGGTATCTGCACTCTCGATGTTCCTCGTCCATTTCATTCTATGCCAGCCCCCACCGCGGGGAGAGAAAACTTCCCTAGCAGCTCAAGACTCCTTTCCCAGGTCCTTCCAAATCAAAGGGACTAGGCTTGGGAAGGATGGCACTGTAGCCAGGTGTAAAGGTGCACACCTCTAATCCCAGCAGCTCAGGAAACTAAGGCAGGAAGATTATGAGCTCAAAGCCAGGCTCAGCAACTTAGCAAGACCCTGTCTCTAAGTAAAACACAAAAAAGGGCTGGGGATGTGGCTCAGTGGTTAAACACCCCTGAGCTCAATCCCTGCTACCACACACACACAAGGACTCTAAGAAAAACATGAAAGTGCTGGCACCAGGCAAGCAGGACAGCTGTCTGCACAGCGCTTAGCAGAAGCAAAGGGAGCGCGCACCAATTGGGCCTGATATCAAGTCATTAAAAAAACCCTGCAGCTTAAGTCTTCTTGCTATTTAATGCCATTGATAGATTTTGCTAGAAAACAGCTTTCCCAGAGCATCTAACAGAGCACAATTTCAAGCTAAAGGTATCTGTGCATTTCCTTCCTGGTTACAGGAGGATAAAGACGCTCCAGGAGGGCAAGTGGGGATTCTGTGAGCTAATTCAAGCATGTGAAGCAAATAGTAGAGGGTCAAGACTCACGAAACCCCTTACCCCAGGGGTTTACTGACCCAGCCTGTGGGGCCTAGTTGCTCTTAAGCTCCCCACAAACACTAAATACTGCTGGGGAGCAGTCAAAAGGCAAGGATGCCCATGACCTCCAAAAACCTCGGGTGCCACCCCTGACTGAGCACCATGAGCCTCAATTGCTATTTGCAGAGGGGTGATACCCAGCCTGCAGGTCTTCCTGGGGTCCCTGGGTTTTATCTAAATAGGAAGGGCTCTGCGACTGGACTGGGGTGGGGGGATGCTGGTTCCTCTGCAGACTAGCTGGTGACCTTGGCAGCTAACTGGCTTCTGAGCTTATTTCCTCATCTCCAAATGAGCCCCACCTCATGGGGTTGCTGGTGGGTTAAAGCAGCACTCGGCCAGATTCCTCCTGTGGCTCACGAGGTCCCGCAGGGTCCCCCGTTCATGTTGTCTCCCTTTCCTGCCCTTCTCATTCCACTCATCACACTGGCTGGTCCTTGGTCCCTGGGGCACTCTCTCCTGTTACACAAGAACTTGTTCCCTTTTTTCCTGCAGGGCTCCCCTCAGGGATCCCCTGCTTGGTGTCTCCATTCATGAATTACATCTGCCTCTCCCCAAATGACTCTCCCAAAGTCTCATTCCTTACTTCTTGTTTTTTGTCACATTTACCAGCAATTTTTTTGTTTCCTCACCCCACTGCTTCTAGAACACAGGCCCAGAGTCTGGTTCACTGCCAGGTTCTCAGTACCCAGCAGGGCTCGACGCAGTAGGTGTTCAGCTGGACACTGAGTGGATACCGACTCATTCATCAACACGGGGACTCCTTTAATGCCGTCCTTGGGAGGAGGGGTCTATAACCTAGGCTGGCTGTCAGGGGCCAAGCCCCTCCCAATAGAAGTCCTGCAGCTGTGGTGCCAAAGGCCACATGGGCACCCTGGACAGAGAGGGCAGGCTGGGCACTGGCTTTGTCCAGCCTGAAGATGGTGGCAGTGGGAGGGGCGCCCTGCGCGGCTGGCCTCAGCTCTTGGAGTAGCGCCTCTGCAGCGATTCCCGGTAGAAGCGGAAGACGTGCTGTGAGGCGGCCTGGGCAGCAGCCAGGCACTGCTGGAGCTGGCAGAAGAGGCGAGTCAGTGCCAGGGCCTCGCCTCGCCCCACACCCATCTGCAGCCCAGCAGGCCCAAGAGGTTCCTGGACCCCACTGACTCCAAGCCCCACCCCGCAGCCGACCACTCCCCTTCCCACCCCAGGCAAGGCAGGTGGGGAGGGGATTATCTCTAGTGCACTTCTCTCCCACTTTATAAGCTTTCTTAGTGGGGAGCAGGAGGAAGAAGCTTCAGGGATCTGAGGCTGGCAGCAACCAGACCTGAGACCAATGGGAGCAGCATTCAGACACCCTGGAAGATACCCCAACCTTGCGGAGCCACGGCTCCTCAGAGCTCAATGAGCTGGTCAGACCTTGGGATTTGGAGCCATGGTGTCAGAGACCTCCAATCTTTACTGCCACATGTTCCTAAGTCTGTAGGAAGGGCCAGGTTGGAAATGCAACCATCTCGCCCCATAGTTCCAAGTTCAGTACCTTAGAGACCCTGCCCTCTGAGCTTAAAGCTGAGGGCCCTCAGAAGCTCTGCCTCCCACTTTCAAACCATGTTCCACCTTTTTTCCTATCACACATATTGGGCTTCCCTCCAAATTTCCACCAAGGTTTCCATGGTTACAAACATTGAAGCCCCTACCCCCTGGGATTTCACCCCACCCCATGCTGGTACCTCGGCATCAGAGTAGAGCCCCTTGGTGGTGGACATGAGTAGCTTCTGTTCCACACTGTCTAGAGCAAAGGTCAGGACTGCTCGCGCTTCCTAGGGACAAGAGGTAGAAGGCAGAAGACCTCAAAGCCCTGCTTTCCCACATTTCAAGTGCAGCTGTTTTGTCTATATATTACTCTGATCCTGGGTAACAGTTATGTCCTTTGTAGAACTGGTCCCCATGCTCCTGATTCCAACCAGCTGCCACACCTGCCCCTTAGAGGAGCCAGTGCGAGTCATTTACCAGGCTCCTTTCCAGCAGTCAACCCCCTTTCTAAGCTCCATGCTCTGCAAGGGCTGGAGACCAGTGGATCATATTCTTTAGACTCTCTTGCTGTTAGCTCAACCAGTAAAGAAAATCTCTTGGGAAATGGGGAAGAGCATCTCAGTCCTCATTCTGACAGTGGCAGCTGCTGTAATAGCCACAGAGGTGACAGGGGTTCTGCACTTCAGCATCCAGGATTGAGGCAGGACATCTTTTGAGCATCAAGAACCAACTGCAACAATGTCTCCAATAGTACTGCAGCCTTCCCCTTGGCCTCTCAAGACTCTTCCAACATTGTCCTTACCAATCCCCTATATTAAATACCTCCATCCTAAGTACCCCAAGTGTTGTGTGGTTTTCCTGACTGGCTAAGACCATGAGAAAATCCCAAAGAACAAGGACCTTAGGGCACTGCAAGCCTGAGTGGGTAAAGAAAGCTTTCTAGCCTTTGGATCTTTTTTTTTTTTTTGGTACTGGGATTGCACAGGCCAGGCAAGCGCTTTATCACTGAGGTACATACATCCCTAACCTGTCCTCCATCCTCTTAATATGAAAGGATGGAGTTGACCTCGGCCTCAGGAAAGATGCTGGCCAGAGAGAATGAAGCCAATATACAGAAAAAAGCAGGGATGAGAAATGAAGTAAGGAAATCTGACAGTGTTTGAAGTTCTGGTTTTAACTAGACCTCTGTTCTTTAAGGGTTTGGAAACAAAAGCCAACACATTCTTGTTTGGCTTGTGCATGTCTGAGTTGGGTTCTAGCACTTGCAGCTGAATGAATCCTGACGGACAGAGCAGGGCCTGCCAACTGGGGCTGAGGTGCGTGCGCCAACTGACTTGGAGACAGTGAGTCCTGGAGGAAGGCCGAGAGCCACCTGGCCACAGCCCTTCATACCTACCTTTTCTTGCTTGGCTGTGGGGTCCAGCACCAGGGTCCCATCAGAGTCCAGGGCACAGGTGACCCCGCAGAACAGGGCTCGCATGGGCACACCTGCATCCACCAATGCCATGCAGGCAGCATTCAGGCAACAGGCCAGGAGCTGAGCCCAACGGGAACAGTTAAGAAGAACACCTACTGGAGAGCTGGCAGCTGAAGGATCACGGCAACTTGCACCTGCTAATGCCCGTGGCAGACCTCACTAGCAGTTCCCAGAAAGGCAGCATGGCGGGGGATAAGCAGCTCTGGGATCAAGTAAGCCCTGTTTCACACCTGGCTTTGCCATCTTTCAGCTGTGACCTCGATCAACTGACTTATAGAGTCTCAACCTCATCTCTACATGGGAACCATGATGATATTAACAAACGTAAGCTAAAAGCACACAGCAAGTATCTTCAGGGAAACAGGGTCAGAGGGGAGAAACCTCCCAAGGTGACATGGGACAGGCACTGGCAAAGCCAGGCCCAACACTGAGGAATCTGTCAGTCATCCTTGACACCAGGTGAGGGAGTCAGGGTGGAGGAAGGAGCTGTCACAGGCTGGAGCTGCCTCAGTTTCCTGTTTTTCATCCCTAGGCTCAGCAGAGTGGAGAATGGCTTCAGCTTTATAATCAATCAGTTCTAGCTCTACCACTAACACGGTCGCTTCCCCTGGGCTTTAGTTTTCACCTCTTTAAATGAGTTCTTAACAGGTTTTCCCTTCTTCCATCCACACAGTGACCACCTAAATGGGCCACACACCAGCAGTGCCCTCTAGAAATGCCCGTTTCAGGCCTTCATCCTCAACCTCACTTGCCTAAAGCACAGGAATCTTTCAAAGGCAGAGGTTCTGATCCCTCTGCCCTGCCTGCTCAGGGTTCCCCCAGTGTCAACAAACTGGACCCACATTAAGGGGCAGGCTGGTGATCACTGGCACAGGCTTGGAGGTCAGACAGGCTTAGGCGAGTCCTGCCTCTGCTGCTGTCCACTTGTGTCCTTAGGCAAGGCACTTCCTTTCTCTGAGCCTAAGTTTCCTCATCTGAAACATCTGTCAAAGTCCTTGGGCCTAAGTCCTGGACGAGCCACTTACACAAAGAACATGAATGTGTGCTGAGGATTCAATGAGTTTAAGTATATAAGGTGCTCAGAACAGTGCCTGGCACACAGCAAGCGCTTAAGGTGTGCCTGCCAAGTGTCTGGTGTTACAAAGCCACCAGAAGAGATTCTGGAGTACTTCCTGTCAGAGGGTGGCCAGGGGAAGGATACAGAGCCTGCATCGCTGACTACCTGGAGCACCACGGTGATGGAGGTGCGTGGGTGCAGCGCTCCTAGCACCACTGCCTCACAAGTGTTCCTGATCAACCGCTCCCGGCTCTTCTCTGCTACACCTAGGGAAATTGAGGGGAGGTTGTCAGGCTCCTCCCTTCTCTACCTGGTTCCCCTTCCACTTGCCCCACGACCTGGAGGAAAGCCCTGTGAAAGGGGTTTGCAGGTTCGTTGTGGGATGGCACAGGAACCTGCATGGATGACAGGATTAGCAGTGGGAAGAGGGTGGGCGACTGCCATCCACCCACCCTGGCTACCATCAGCACCCAAGGAAGGAACACAGCGAAGTCTTGTGCTGCGGCACATGCCCATGCCCATGCCCATGCCCACCCGGCCAGGCCAGACCATGGAGAGTGAAAGGAGACAGGGTGAAAGGGCAGAAAAACAGGTTAAAAGAGGAACCGGAAACAGGGAAGAGATGGGGGAAATTGACAGATGCTGAGACAAAGAGGCAGGTAGAGAAAGAGCTGGAAATAGCAGTGTGGCGACCCGCGGGTGCGGTAGAGACTGGGGAAAACAGGCAGGAAGGAGATGGCCAAGGCCCCAGTGAACTGGACCTTTAGAGGTTCAGCTGGGCCCAGTTACCAGGCAACCCGATCTTTGGTCTCAGGATCACTTCGAGCGTGGCCTTGTTGAAGATCTCTTTGCTGACCTTCACCTCGGCTGGCCCATACACACCTGCCAGGACAGAGGTATCACCTGGGAAGACAGCAGAGGAGGCTTTAGTCACACCTTCCCTGCTTCTGGGTCCCAATCTGCAGCATGTAACAGCAAGGACACCGATGGCTGGGGTTCCCCATGTCGCCCCTGCCATCTGCTGGCAACAATTCAAGGACCCACTTCACTTTGGCCTCCACTTCTTCATTTATAAAACAGGTTGACAGCAGCATCTCCCTCACAGTGTTTTTGTGAGGAGTAAATCACTGTCCAAAGCTTGGGGTGCAGCTCAGGGGAACAGCCCTTACTTGCCTAGCACATGCAAGGCTCTGGGTTCCCTCCCCAGAATCTGTCTCTCTCTCTCTCTCTCTCTCTCTCTCTCACACACACACACAGCACACCTCACTCACAACTCTTAGAGGACACCCCTGGCCCACGTGGAGCACACAGGAGACTTTAGCTCATATTATCAACTGACCCCCACCCTGGGAAGCTCATTGTTTAATCTCTGCAGTTTCTTTTACCCTAGAACCATCACAGAGGAAAGGAGGCCTATATGCCATCTGTCTCCCGTCCTCCCCCTGCCCCCACCCTGCCTGAACATGAGGCTGAGGCATATTTCAGTATCACTGAGGTTCCCTTGCCTGTTTCTGTTTAAGAAACAAAAATCAAACTGGACTATAGATCAGTTCTACAAACTGCAAATAAATATGTGGCAAGGAACAAGCTCACAGGCAGGCTCCAGGGAGACGGGGTACAGCAGCCACTCACACAAGTGCCCGAGGCAATGCTTCTTCCATCCCTCACCCCCACAGGCTGAGCAGACGGTTAGAAAGGAGAACTGGAAGAACCCAGTTCAGGTGCCTACACTTTTGCAGCTTCTCAGAGTTACAGAGAACTGGTTAGTCAGGCTGAAACCAGTCCTCCCCATGGGACTAGGGTCTGCACAGCCCACCTTTCTCCATGGTGGCACTAGATCATGACTCTCCTGTCCTCAACAAGAGGCTTGGGTAAGGAGGCAAGGAGGCGGAGGAACCAGCTCACTGTTCCTAGGTCTCCCTCACCCCAGGACTAAAAACCCCATTTTCCAGCTAAGAGTGGGAAAGAGTTAGAACTGGGGAGAGGGGCGTCTAGGCCCCATTGCCTTTTTTTTTTTTTTTTTTGGTATTGGGGATTGAACCCAGAGGCGCTTAACCACTGAGCCACAACCCCAGCCCCCTAGCCCTTTTTATTCTGAGACAGAGTCTAAGTTGCTTAGGTCTTTGCTAAGTTGATGAGGCTGACCTCAAACTTGTGATCCTCCTGCCTCAGACTCCCAAGTCACTGGGCCCATCTCCTTCTCTTGCCAAAAAAAAAAAAAAAAAGCTGCAGGACAAGGAATTCTTAGTGGACAAGGAGGCTAGGGAAGACAGCTAGAGCAGGAGGCAGGCTGGGAAGCCATGTCCTTGAGCCCCACCCCAGGCTCCTCTTCCTCTCACCTTGTTTCCTCAACGTTCTGCTTCTCTCAATCAGTTCTGGGGATATCAGAATTCAAAGATATCATCCTCCTGGTCCTACAGTGTTTGGGTCTGAGAGGTCGGGGTCAGCGGCACAGGACCTAGGACTATCCACTGCTGCATCCCAGGCAGCTCAGGTGGAGATCGGCATCACCCTGCCTTTCTCTTTTCTGAGCTTCTGGGCTCATCTGTGAATCAAGCTGCTGCTTTTTCTTTGGGGGGGAGGGGCGGGTACCTGAGATTGAACTCAAGGACGCTGGACCACTGAACCATATCCTCAGCCCTATTTTGTATTTTATTAGAGACAGGATCTCACTGAGTTGCTTAGTGCCTCAGAAAATTACTGAGGCTGGCTTTGAACTTGTGATCCTCCTGCCTCAGCTTCCTGAGCAAAGAATTTACAGGCATGCACCAACGCGCCTGGCTAATCAAGCTTCTTAAGGAAATCAGAGGCAGAAAGATTGAGGATGGGAGTGGGGGGCTTCTGGTAGGTGTGGGGAGGGCTTCACCACAGGCATGCCCTAAACCTCTCTTGTTTCTTCCTCACTGCTGAGTGTGGCGGGACTTCATCCTACTTGGGTGTACCCCTTCCTCTTCATCCTTCTCTTCCTCAGAATCCCTACCACTGAACAGGTCTCTGGGTTCTGTCAGAATGGGGACATAGAGGGTTTTCTCCGGGAAGATGGAGTCATTAATATACAGGTGATTTGCACACTTAATTCAGCAGACACAACATTTTGTGTATATGTGGTGCTGAGGATCGAACCTGGGCTGCACGCGTGCCAGGCGAGTGCGCTACCGCTTGAGCCACATCCCCAGCCCCTGCACACTTAATTTGGTTTGCACCTGGTATTTGAGTGTTAGTCCAGCTGGGGTATCTCTGGGTTCCAACTGATGCTGCAGGTGTCTTTCCCTCAATGGCAAGCGGGCTGAATGCACCAGGCTTCCACAGGAAGGAGCCCATCTCAGGGGATGGATATTCAGGGAATTCCTTTCCCCTTCTATCTCTTCTCCCAAAGACTCCCTACTTTCCCTGACACTATGCCCACCTCCCTCCCTCCTAACTTCTTCCTCTAAGCCCATTACCCTCAAATCTGTCCCTGGGTACTCAGTCCCTGCCACATACACCTCTGACCTTTTTATTATTTGCAAAATGGAAGACTGGACTCAAACATAATAGTTTCCAAACTTCTCTGACAACTCACACATTTTAAAGGACAACTCCAAACTCACACAAATGTGTATAAATGGAATGAAGACAGCATAAAACAATTCTACCCGTTATTGCTTTGATGTGCTTTATGGTTTCTTCTCTATTCCACTTAAAAAATAATACTGGTTGCAACCCAATAATGCAGTAGTTCTCACCCTGGGTGCATATTTGAGTCACTAGGGAGTTTTAAAAGATTCCTATGCCCAGGTCCTTCTCCTAAGGCTTCTAATTTAACTGCTCAAAGGTGGGGCACAGGCACTGGGAGCCTCAAAGTTCCCCAGCTAATTTTAACATTCAGCCAAGCCTGCAATCTACAGTGTAAAACCATGAAGCTCTATGGGGGCTGGGGTACAGTTCAGTGATACAGCACCTGCCCTACAAGCACAAGGTCCTCAGTCTGATTCCCAGAACTACAAAATAAAATATCCACAGGAGCTCTAGCCCAGCTTCTAAACATTGGCCTGCAATCAGAATCACTGCATGACTTGAATTAAAAATAAAATGCTTGTTTTTGCCAGGTGAGGTGGCACAGGCCTGTAATCCCAACTCAGGAGATTGAGGCAGGAGGATTCCAAATTTGAGGCCAGCCTGGGCAACTTGGCAAACAAAAAATAAAAAGGGCTGGAGATGCAGCTCTGTAGTGAAGTGCTTCTGGGTTCAATCCCTAGCACTGAAGGGGGGAAAATGCAAGGCCAGACTAGGTATGTGGTAAGTTCTGGGTATCTGCATTTTTATAACTTTGCCAGAGAGTCTGAGGCCAGAAGTACTCAAAACACAGCGTTTGAGTGTCTGCAAGGATTTCCATTTGCTCTAGGGCTCTGTGGGTTTGGGTTTAGAATGCGGGGCTGCCTTTCTTTCTCTCTTTTAAAAACAGGGTCTAACTATGTTGCTCAGGCTGGTCTGGAACTTCTGGGCTCAAATGATCCTCCAGAGTAGCAGGGACCGCAGGAGTAAATGCCACAGTGCCTTGCTTCTCGTTCCTTAGGTTCTAAGAAAAGTCAGGCATCTGAAACCAGCCTGAGAGGTGTGCTGCAGGGAGGCCTGAGGGGAGGAATGGCTAAACAACTGAGGGATTCTCTTCCTTAGAAACCCAATCTACCTTCACAAGGGGGGAATGATGACCTTTGCTCCAGAAGAATCTGCCTTGAAGCCATATTCTTACCCAAATAGAAAACCCCTCGCTGGGGTTTTCATTCCTGTTACTCCAGATGGACTGTTACACCTGAGCACTGGAGCCCTATCCTCTTATCTTCTCCAGGATGTGGCTCCAACAAGTCTCCCCTCACTCCACCCCACATTCATCCCATTTACTTGATCCTCCCACAGCAGAACTCCTGAAGTATTGTCTCCACTTGCTGCCTGTTCTTCCTTACCTTGACCCAATACTGCAGCATCTTGTTAGTGTCACCAATAGCTTCCAAATTATTGACCCTAACATGATCCAGCCTCTCGAGTGAAAGAGACTGGGCAGTCCTTACAGCTCCAACACTGTTCGCTCGGTTCTGGTTACCACCCTCTTTTGGTTTCCCCTGTCTCACTGGCAGCTCCTTCTCCATCTCCTTTGCTAGCTCCTCATACCCCATGAGCTCAAAGTTGGAAGGGCCTGGGGCCCATCTCTTTTCCATCGCTCAATTGATGGGGGTGGGAGTGCTGAAGGTATTTGTCAACCCAGGTTAGGAACATTATCTTCAATCTGAAAAATTATTTACTTGGTTTATTTAAAGTTATTAAAGTAACCCGCCGCGGTGTAATTATAATTGAGCCTGAGGTGTTGATGTGCTTGTTGAAGGGATATTTACGTAAACGAACATATCTGCCTTAATAGGTGATGTAGGTCCCCAGGATGTGTGTGTAGGAGGTAGGGCAAAAAAACTACTCAAAAACCTTGCTGAGGTTTTTCCCTATTCTGGAATTTTCGCTCTTATGGGGTGGTCTGCCCCTGTCTCATCCTGAGAATTACATAACAGGGTGAAGGAAACATTCGAATCAGGAGGGAGAAATGTGTATCCCGCTGTATCCACAAGTATTCACTCGGATAAGAAGTTCTGCATCGGTGCGGGGGGCGGGCATAAACCAGCTAATATCGCAAGATGGGCACTCCATTGTAAGGTACACCACAGCCACACTTCAAAATAAATACGACCTAGATATACGTGACTCAAGACAATTCTAATTTAAACTTACCTTGCAGAAAAGAAGCAGAGCCATCCGGCCGAGACAGCAGGTTCTGTTCACAAGCAAAGTGCCGGAGGCTACAGCCGGAGCCCCGAGGGCTGGACTCTGTTCCAGCCTCACTATAGACTTTGGCGTCAGCCTGTATCGCCCGCTCCATCTCGCCGGACCCCACGTGCCGGTATCGGCACGGTAGCTTCCGCACCGTTTCGCGCCGCGCGCTTACGTACGTACAGACTGCGTACCCGGTGCGCACGAGCGTACAGACTGCGTACCCAGTGCGCACGCGCTCGTCCGGGGCCCATTCAGAATCGGCGTCAGCACGTGTCTCAGCGTTTACCAACAATCTGGCTCCGCCCACTCCCACCTCCTAACTCTAGCAAAGCCATTGGACCATAGCGAAAAGGGGGCGGGCCTTGGCTTGGGCTCATCCTACCCAAGGCCCCCCCGGCCCTAAACTGATGAGGTTCCCGTCAGGTTGTCCTCTTCTTTGCGAGTTATGGGAGTAATTAAAATGAAGCGATCAGAATAACTTTTGGGAATATGTATTGTCTTATCCAACCATATATGTGTCCTGGATGCCGTTTATCGGAAGCAGGTGTTCTTTTTCTCAGGGTTATGCTGGCATATGAATCAGGCTTATGGTGGGGCAGCCTCAAGTCTGGCCTAGGAGAGGGGCGGATCAACAAGGGCTTATTAGCCAAGATGGCGGTAGCGATCTCAGTGGCTAGGGTCTGGGGCCCTAGACGAGGCCTGGGCCAGGCTACCCTCCTGTTGCTGCGGCAGCCTATGGCTCGGGGATTGGCTAGATTTGTGAGTACCGAGGCCCCAGGCGGTTTTTTCTAAGGGGTATATGGGGGCGTAAAACCTATCTTTAGAGTGTGGGTTCTCTGCAGGGTGTGAAGGAGGGCAGTCACCAATCACGGAGGGAAAAGCAGTGGGAGAATTGGAGAGGACACTTAAAGGAAGAGTTTCCGTCTCCTTAGGAAAGGAAAAGCGGGGCAGCTCCTGTGTGGATCCTGAGGGCGAGAGACACCGTGGAGATTGAGATGGGGGTTCCTCCTCTTTCCCTCTCACTGGGGAGGCGCCTTCAAGGGTCGCAGGAGAACTTTCCCCTCACAAGTCGGAGAATGAAACTGACTAAGTAGGGCGGAGAATTCCTTCTGAGTAAAAAGTCCTGTTGAAACAGAGAAAGGAGAGCTCAGATCCCTGTCACAAGCTTTTACAGGGCTTTGCATTTCTTTGCTCTTTCTCCCCAGTTCTAATTTGAAAGCCAATTACGGAGAGACTCGTTTGATTCCTGTGTCCTCTGATGGAAAGTTAAGATATGTTGTGGATATTGTGCACAGGAGATGATCAGTATATGTTTGTTGAATTGATGAAGAGAGAAAAGCGGGAGGGAGGTTCAGACAGGGCCCTTTGCCCACGTTTCTCGAAAACACTTGAGAAAGCCTTGTTAATTATCAAAAGGGTCTGAATTGCTTTTGATACATGCTGCTAAGGGGAAGATCACACTGCAAAAAGATATAGTTGAGTCCTGGGGCTAGAGCTTGCCTAGTATGTGCAAAGCCCTGGGTTTGATTCCCAACCATCGCAAAAGTAACAATAAAAAGTAGTCGGAGGGCTGGAATTGTGGCTCAGTGGTAGAGCGCTTGCCTAGCACATGCGAGGCCCTGGGTTCCATCTTCAGCACCACATAAAAATAAATAAATAAAATAAAGATATTGTGTCCAACTACAACTAAAAAATAAATATTAAAAAAAGTAGTTGGAAGCCTGTATTTAGAGGGGGGAAAAGCAGTGAACTGCAAGATCTATGAGCTAAAATTCCAGATGAGATAGGAACGGTTATGTGGGTAGTTTCTGGAGCTACATCACGTGGGTTTGCATCCCGCCTTGTCATTTTCCAGTTGTGTGACCCTGGATGGGGGCCTGAACCTGACACCTCTCTTGATGTAATTTTCCTTACTGTAGAATGTTAACAGTGATCACCTCACAGGATTGTTGTGGAAATATATAAAGAGCTAAGAATTGGACCCTACACATCATAAGGGCAGTAGGTATTTTGGCCACTGTTGTTAGTAAGGGTGGAGAGAAGGGACAGAAATTGACCTTGGAGATTGAGAGAGCAAAGAAGGTGACTCTGTGGGAGTGCAGGCTGGATTGGTGATGCTCTGGAAGGAATCTTTCAAGATCTTCTGAGATTGTTCCTGGCAGTCTTGTCCCCAATTCATAAGGCAGGGAAGATGAAATCTGTAGGAAGGAGCTCTGAGTAGGAGGAGAAACAGGGTAAGAGAGTAGGTCAGGAGTGAGGCAGGAGTCCCCAGGAAGGAGGTCATTTGAAGCAGGTAAATGCTGAAGGGTTACAGGAGTAGGTTGGGGGAATGGAGGTAGGATGGTCTCCTGTTAATGGCTGTTCTCTGTGGCTTTTTTTTTTTTTTTTAAAAATCAGATCCTCCGCAGCTGATGGCAGTCCCAGGAGCCCATTGGTTGAGCAAGTGGGGCGGGAGGCAAACAGGAGGGCAAACTAGGGAAAGGTCATTTGTGACTGATTAAATCTGTTCTCCTCCTGGCTTAGTCTTCTGTTGCCTTTCCTTTTCTCCTTTGTTTATTTTGGAGAGGGTGGTGAGAAGGAAGTTTCTACTTTTCATTGACTTACCTACTTTAAATTTTATTTTATATTTGGTGCTGGTGATTGAACTCAAGGTCTTGTGCATGCAAGGCAAGCACTCTAGGAGCTATATCCCCAGCCCTAAATTTTATGTTTTCTTAGAGTCATTTGCCCTCCCTCCACCTGTTTTTAATCCACTTGTTCTGAGATTAAGAGTCCCTACTTTTTTGAGTGAAGGGAAGGGACAGTAGTAAAGATTGCAGACCAGGGCTGTCCAATAAAACTTTCTTTGATAGTGGAAATGTTTTCTATTTATGCTATCCAGTACAGTAGTCACTAGCCACATGTGACTACTGAACACTTTAAATGTGGCTAACAAAGCTAGGTGTGGTGGCACATATCTATAATTCTAGCTACTAAAGCCAGCTTTAGCAACTCAGTGAGACCCCGACTCAAAAAACAAAATTAATAAAGGGCTGGGGATGTGGCTCAGTGGTAAAGTACCCCTGGGTTTGGGCCCCAGTACTGCAAAAATTAAATAAAAAATAAAAGTGGCTAGCAGGACTGAGGAACTGAATTCTAATGAGTTTAAATGGCTGGTGGCTGCCATATTGGAAGGTGGAAAGTACAGCTTTATCCAGGTGGAGGTGAAGAGTGTCTTGGGAGGAGATTGGGAGGTTTTACTGTAATAAATGGATTAAAGTAGATTATGAGGGCAGGAGGTTTCGGGGAGGGATGGGGCTGCCTTTCTTTGTCTCCTGCCTTCTTGCCTCTCCTCTCATCACCCCTTTCCTGAGCACCCTGCTGCCCTTGAGTGCTTGCCTGATTCCCTTCCCTCTGCTGCTATTATAGCAGATGTTTTTAGTGGTTAGGGAGAAAAGAAAGAAAAAACTCAGACTGACAGAGAGTCATGAGTCAGTTTTGCAACCACCACCCCAGGGCTGGGCCTGTTGGGGCCATTTCACCTCTGAGCCTCATTTGGGAATGAGTAGATGCCCTACCCTGCTAGAAGTCAGGGAACAATTGGAGCGCAGTCTATGCTCATTACCAGTAAAGTTTCTCCAGCCTAGCTGTTCTGGGATAGCCTGTCAGGGGCTTCAGTGCCCTGTGCAATAGCTCCATGTAGTAGGTACCCATGACCTCTGATGGAGGGGGCCTCACGCAGGTCCTTAGGGATTCAGTGAGCACAGGCGCTTAGATTAAGTGCTTTGTGTGGCACCTGTGCGCATGGCTAGCTCTGGCTGTCCTGGTCTCCAGGGTGCCAGACTTGGGGCCTTTGTCATTCCCTAGTACTGAAGCATTCCACTTCCCTTGCCTTTGTCCCAGCCCTGCGTGTCCAGCAGCCTGGCTCAATTCTCGTCCTCTAGGAAATAATTCTGCTGCTCCCTCTGGTCATAGCTGGTGAGAGTTCCTCCTATGACGCAGGCAGTGGCTTTACCCTACCTTCCACAGCTGTGAGGCAGATATTGTTCTATCCGTGGAGAGGCACGCAGGTTCAGGGAGACAAGTTCCTGCTCAGTGTCACGCGGCTGGAAAGCCACAGAACCAGGATTTGGACTCAGGCAGTTTAGTGTACCTTGTCCTGTGGTTAACCATCATACCATCTTTCCCCTCTGCTTGTCATTCATCCCTCCCTGTCTCCAGCCTTCCCTTCAGGTCCACCTTGGGGCCATTGTTCAGTATCTGCCTCTTTGACCAAAATGGTCAGCTGGTACACCTGTTAGCTACTGTTTTTATCAAGCACTAGTGCTCCAGGCACTGGGCTGGGTCATGTACACATCAACTCATTTCAACCTCAAGGTAGCCCAGGAGGATGTATACAGGAGAAACAAGCTCCTGAGGTCTGCTTCATGCTGTGCCTTTGACTATGGTGCCTGAGGGAATGACCCCACAGCAGCCTTCCCAAACTTGTTGGGCAAGACCAGGCCATTCAGCACAGATGGCCAGGGCTCCCCTGTAGTTCTAAGACTTTTGGTAAATATGTGTAGCCTCTGCCATCATAAGCCACTGGCCACTGGGCCAGCTGCCCAAACTGAAGGAAAAAAAATGGGTGGGGTCATATCCTTTTGTAGGCATTTTAAAAATTTTCTTTCTTTTTTGGTTGTAAATGGACACAATACCTTTATTCTATTTAATTTTATGTGGTGCTGAGGATTGAACCCAGTGCCTCACGTGTGCTAGGCAAGTGCTCTACCATGGAGCTACAACCCCAGCTTTAGTAGGCATTTAAAAAAAAATATATGTTTTTTAGTTGTTGATGGACCTTTCTTTATTTATACATGGTGCTGAGAATTGAACCCAGTGCCTTAGACTTGCTAGGCAAATGCTCTGCCACTGAGTTATAACCCCAGCCCCCTTTTAGTAGATATTTTGCACCCCATCCATAATAAGTGTTTCCTCAGGCTTCAGCCATGAGCTGAGCCCCTTGCAGAGCTCACTGAATCCTCCAAGGAACCATGGGGTGTGGATGGCCATCATTTCCACGGGCCCTAAAGGAGCCTGGAATTCATGGTGGGAACTCAGCTCTGGTATCGGGCTCACCAGGATGCCCTACAGAAGCTTTCCAGACTCTAGGCCATGGTCCTGCTCTGACACCCTGGCTCTTCTCAGCCCTCAGCCCCTTCCCTTCTGACCCCCCCTGCCCCCCCAGCCCCTAGTGAGACCCT